TAATTAAGCTCAGGAAGTAGCTGGATTTCAAGGGGAAAGTCGATGACCGCGATAGCGACAATGAAACAACATCTGCTGACTTACGGATAACTGTGCAGAATTTTAAGAATGTCTCCCAACAGACTGAAAGTTGGGCGCGTAGAATAGCCGCATGGTCACACAAGGCAGGATGAAGGCAGTATCTTCAGGTTCTCGTATCTTCAGAGCTGGCGGACTCAGTCTGAAAACTACAGGTTATAAGACCAGGTCAACTGGGTTTGGGGCACTTTCAGCGCCAAGTAAGGAACTATGAAGGCCACAGGTCTTACATAGTTCGGTAGCCCACTTAGTAACGAGTGCACCCACGGGAAAGAAAATCCGTTCCGTCAGTGGCAAAGTTACTGACCTAGGCCATGGCCGGCCCTGCACACTCGAATCTAAGGAATAGCGGGTAATTAGGCCTAAACGAGATGCAAAAAAGCCAGTTACAGAACCAGCTGTCATCCCTCCGCAGAGCAGGGATAAAGTAGAGCTCACCGAAAGGTCTTTAATAATCAACAGAATAGAAGGCAGTTGAGATCCAGGACCACGTAATCATTCAGAACATGACCTTGACCGTGTACGAGATTTGGTGAAGGGCCTTTTACGAGAAACATGCTCAGGACTACTCCACCGGAGAAATATGCAGCAAATAAAAGGGAGACGGTCTCTACCAAAAACGGGTTCCGTCTACTTGAAGTCACATTCAGAACAACAGAAAAGAAGAACCATGTTCTGGGGGACCCACACGAACCTCAGAGAACTGAGGCGTCTGTGCGTAAGGATTTGTCTCTCGCCGCCTGTGCAGACCGCACGAAAGTGTGTATAAACCACTTTAATTAGAAATAACGTCACCTTTTCACCGCTTTTTAAGCACTTTTTACATTCTTCCCGATACCTGTAAAAACGAATGTTATTTATCTGTACGCCCTTTGGTTGTGGCAAAGATACTGACCTGGCCGATGCTGCTAAACGTGGAAATATAGTGCGCTTCTATCGATTCCGACTTCTGTCTCCGTTGACTGTTGTCTGTAGTGAATACTCACTGATTGTCCCAGGATTTTACAGGACTTCTCATCGTACTTCCAAATATACGACAATGAAGCCAACCAGCGTTGACTGTGGCGAGCTAACAAGTACTGCCTTCTGAACACTGGAGTGCCCTGAATTGTGGTGGGCAGTATCGTGGGGATGACATTCAAGTAACCCGCTACTGTCCATAGCGTCGACGCTACTATTTTTTGTCATAACGCACAACTTTTCATATTTCTGTAACAGTGAATCTATTTTGTAAATTATATGTAGTCCATCGTTTAGGTTTACTTGGCATCCCTTTGGGTCCACTACATGCTTTAATCTAACAACTAGAAGCGGGAATAGAACTAAACTCCAGATTAGCACCGGGGGAGAAAGATCCGAAAGCCGTGAGCTTTTTGACGGCAAATGATGTCGAAGCCACCAGGGATGGGACCAAGGCTCATTTAAGTGGCTTTATCGTTTTGTGTACAAGTGCGTGTAGTCTCCTAGACAAGTGAACTGAGTTAAGTAAGGTAATAAGCCTGAAAAGTTCTAACGTTATTGCTGTCTCGGAAACTTAACTCTCTTCTCAGATCAGTGGCGGTGAAACACACTTACGAGGATTCATACATGAAAGTGGGGCAGTTGGAATGCTGCATTGCCTAAAAAAGTGCAAGGGACAAGCTGCCAACCCAGTTTTACCATATCGAGATCCTGAATGTGAGGCGGCAGTCTTCTCCTTAAATTAGCTGACCCTCTGGACAAATAACTATCGACGCCCGGTTGTAGAGGACTTCAAAGCACACGCAGTTGACTATCATAAGCTAACAACAAACTATGGTACAATTTGTTTGACCATAGGATAGTGATGGCGTAAATTTTTTTGGTCCTCATGCCATGCATTAAGACGGCAACCCCCGGTGACTAGATAAAGGGTGGTTACCATCTTAGAAAAAAACATGAATTTCACTTAAATGTTTATAACACAGGTATGTAACAGGTGAATACCTGGTCCAAAATCCTCCAATCTCTCCGTTTCGCAGTGATATCTTGGGCTTCAGGTTAATTTTCATTGCCCTCGTGCGCATATTCATCTTCTTCCACCTAAGCCTACCTCTTTAGAGTTGGTTCTGAATACTTCTTCAGGTAAGTTTTGTAGTCAGTACAAAGAACTAACCCAGGTGCATCACGGAGGATCTACTCCTGCGTATTTTTGTGCTCCTGTTTCGAAGTTCGCCTGCTGCTCGCTTTCGTTATTCACTTTTCAGGTTTACCTAACCAGTCCTGCATTCAAAAGGAGTCCTAGAAACCGCATTTATCAGTGTGCACCTTGCTATCAAAACCTTACAACGAACGCACATACCCCAACGTCATGACTGTGATGCGGCCCCACCTTCAAGGATATTAAAAGATTCAAACAATAACCGAATAATTCCTAATTTAGAACTGGGTCTGCTTCAGCACACCTCTTATATGCCACGAATAACGGTGTCCAATTTATAGCTTAACACTGTGCATAATAGTCACTTCTCATTACCAAGATGATCAAACCTGTAAACTGGTTCGTATTCATGTAACCTGTGTTGTATGAAATATGTTATATATATATATATATATATATATATATATATATATATATATACATATACATATATATATTACAACCAGATACTACCGTTAGTATGCTCCATCAGTCCTAGGCTTAGCCTTCCGGCACGCAGATGGTGCACACTTCATCCGGCACCTTGCACTCCTCGGTAAAGGTGATCATACTGTGATTACCTTCGGATATACTGCGGCCAGCCTGTGCGATACCGGTGCTGTAGCCAGGCCCCGTGTATGGAAATCGAATATGACAGGCATTGACTTGTTAGTCTCTTTGGAGGACTGGACAGTCAACCTGGAAGCCCCAGCCAAGGCTGCGGTGCACCGTCTAACAGTTATATGCACCAGTAGCCCAGCCGTATGTTCCGTGGACCATTCAGAAGGGATGGGAGCATTGTCCACCGTGGGTAGACCACGAAATTCGAATCTTGTTAGGAGACAGGAAAAAGTGTCGGATTCTCGTCATCCACCATCCATTATGAGGATGGGTTAAATCTTCCCTCAATAGTCTCACTCGACTGGTCAGAGTAGGCTCGTACACTTCAAAACCTAGGTCAGTTACCTCTGACGCAGTTCAAAGTAGCGTGTCAAGTCAATGACATTTGAAGCCGCTTGACACACGGTGGGCTGTTCTTGTTTGCTGGTGACCAAAAGGTTGCTTGCTCACTCTCTTATGCTGATTTGTTCTACTTCCGAGCATTGGTACGAAGGAAGCTTGATGCAGTATCCACATGGTCTAGTGGCCGGAAATCTGAGTTCAGCATAAGAGAACTTGGCTGGATGTGTTTCGCGGCTCCGTCGGTAGGCACCCATGAAACTGCCTGTTCCTAAAAGTATCTATGACCTTGGGCCAAAATGCTCAGGTGACCTCATACTTTCTGAACAGGTTGTGCACAAACCCGCAAATCTAGGGACTTATTCGGCTGCATAATCCTCAACCTTCATCCCAGAGAGGCCAAGCTAGTGCTACATAGAACTTGCGTATGGCCACTATTAGAATACTCTTGGTTTATGTTGGACGGTATCCGCATCGAATGCAAACCGAGAACGGAGGGTGTCCAAAACATTTTATAGATAGGTTACTAGGATATGATTGCATGCAGAACTACAATTCCAGACTCGAGACCCTTAGCCTAGAGCCGCTTTGGATAGGGCGGCTTGGAATTAACCTGACACTCATCTTCAAGGGGCCAAAAAATCCGCTTTTACGGCCACTGATGAGTTTCATTTTGAACAAAACAGTTGTTATGATCTTCACAACCGCATCTACAGCATCGCAAATGGACCCGTTTGAATCCTGCTTGCTTCAAAAGTTATTTACTGTAACATTTTTCCGGACTTGGACCAGACTTCCTGATGAAGTCAAGGCCAATAAACTAACCTCCCAGTTTAGTCGGTTACTAATTGAATACCTGTCATCTGGCGACTTACCTGGCTCGCTGAGTGCGTGCTCACTGTTCTTCAGGCACTCCACATATTATGTCGTCTTAGCAACTAAATGAGACTTCTATGTCTGCTCTAAACCTTCATTATTTAGGCTAGGAACACTTTCACGTCACTGAGCGCCCTGCATAAGGACACATAACCACATCTTCCCGCAGTAATGAACACAGATTCAAGTCCTAACCTGACAAAAAATGTGAGAGACAAGTTCCGTAATGTTCAGTTGGCAAAGGACTTATAACTGATGACATAGAAAATCTAGGGCACTGAAAAACATGTGAATAAAAAGCAAACTCCTTGTCAGACAACTGTCTTCTTTTCTGTGCCTGCTGCCTTTTTTGTCGTTGTAGGCACACCATTCAGCCTCAAAAGTCGCTTTGGTCATAAATGAAGTCTCCGCGAGACAAATAATAATAAAACAAAAATGCAAAGCAGGACGACAGCATACTAAGGGGCGTGACGACCTGGCTACATGCTCTCGAGTTAGCCAATCCATCAGAAATATGAAGGTCGTCAGCAACGCTGAATCTCGCAAAACTTCAGGCTAGTGATTTTGGGAGTTAGTTGCCGCTGCACTCTAGGCTGCGTAGCTACACTGTGCCGATATCACAAAGACACAAAACTAAGTTCATTCAAGTGAAGACCAGGTTCTTACAAGAATATTAGGCACCAGAAAACCCATGAGCTAGTTCTCACGCAAGGTTCATCATTTTATTATCTTTCTGGTGTTGCCTTTATTACAACAAAATATCGGGATGTTTTCCCGCTTGTTTATGTGCCTGAAGCTTTCGTCGTTTGATTTGATTCAGATAATAAACCATCGTGTGGTATTACTTATTATACCTGTTTTTCATAGCAGATCACAATTTACATTTGTGACTATTTGGGGTGCTTATCTTCAGTTGAATCTCAAGGTCAAACCGGAAACAAAGACCTCTTTATGTGTATGACGAGAGTGCTATAATATCGATAAATCCATAACAGAAATAGATGATTTTGATTACACTGCATGAATGTTGATGACAGCAGATACCCTGGCCAAACATTTTTGAAGTATTTGCGAAAGAGCATTGGTGACCTTGTTCTTAATGTATTCTCATTCAAACATTTTGGCGGGTTTCCCCCTAGTCAGCTGATCGTCTGTTTGAGAATAGTTTGATTATGAATGTCGCTTGTAATCGCCATGACGACAATCTCCCTATTCTATTTATTGATTTCAACCAAGACTATACGTGAGTAATCCGTACGATTTTAATTTTCTTGGTTTTCATGCTCTAAATCTTTATATATATATATATATATATATATATATATATATATATATATATATGTATATATATATATATATATATATATACATGTCAAAGAAATGTTTTCAAAAACCAATTGCATCCATTATTAATAGTTTGTATTTCTAACCTGCTCAATCGTTGAGGTCTAACGATCATGATCAGAAGTATGTTGCTAAATTACAAGTAATTCAGTATCCGTTATGCCGTGAGTTTATTGCAAATCTCTCTTCTGCAAGGCAACAGAATTGAGAGTTTTAGATTCAAAGCTTTTATGGAAGATGTTTATTGTTACAAATAGGCAATACTAATTGTAATACTAATAATGCGATATATTGCTGCTCACTGTATCAAAACTTGAAATCGTTTAGCAGTATTTTCTCACGTTTCTCTGAGTTTCTTTTTATTGCGGAGCAGACGTCCTTCAAGTAAGGATTAACTGTCTGTAAACAGTACCTTAGGATGAGCATTAGCTGTACCTACTAGACAATGTGGAGATGATAGTCAAAGTCTTCTACAGCTTCAAAGACCGCTTGCTATTAAAAGCTGGATCTTTACCGTCTTGCACCTTCTTGACTCTTTTGGTCTATTTTGACAATGTGCGAGCATGGCGTAGGCCATGTCATGGTATCATCGTGTGAGTATCGCTAAAGTCAGACGTAGACTTTTATGGAGGAGAGGAAAGTCAGTAGATATGGTTGCAAACTGGGAAGGCTGGGGTGTGTTACGCATGCCTAGTCACCGTCTGCTTCTTGACACAATGGTAACTAAAGTAGGTAACTGCTAACTAACCAGGCTGTAAGAAAGGTCGTGGCGACCAGACTAAAGTATGGCATCAGTGCATGAATGTTTGACTGTTGGTCTGAGACACGTAAACGCGCGCAGACTTGCCGGTTGGCGTCCATATGACAAAGAAACCGATGGTTGGTGACTCTAGTTAATATAATCTCAAAATCGATGTCGGTGTCAAATGGTGGTTGACGGAACAGAAGGAGCTTCCGCATCTACAATCCTTGGAATCCTTGTAGCTGTTAACCTGTTTACAAGTAAAGAAAGAGGAAAAAGTGGCGGTTAAAATGTGAAAATTCAGTTAGTTCTCGGCAGATCCCAGACACAGGTCAAGTGGGTATCCAGTCGGTGTTTAAAGAATTCAGACGAAGTAGCCTGGATCACATCTTCAGGAAGAGCGCTCCAAGGTTTAACAACTCTTAGGGAATAGAAGTTGTACCTGACATCTAACCTCCTATGTTCCAGGCTTAGTTTCTGTGCGTGTCCTCGAAGATTAGCCCTACAGCTAAGATTTAATAAGTGGCGGAGTGGGTGACCAGGCGTGGTGAGAATGTTGTGAGTCATTACCAAGTCTCCTCTTAGCCTCCTGTATTCCAGTGGATACAGACCCAGCGCAACCAGTCATTCTGTGTATATCATCGACCTAAGTCCTCGAACAGATTCTGTCGAACGCCTGTGGATGCTTTTTAAGCTTAGTTTGTCTTTCCGGAGATGAGGGGGGGAAGACGATGGTTACGAACTCCAGGTGAGGCCGTATGAAGCTGTTGAAAATCTAGTGGAAGCATCCACGATCGAATTGTCCGAAAATTCATCTAAGGATTACCAACGCCAAGTTTCCACGAAATAGGTTTCTGTCGCAGTTGGCATAGGATTTTAAGTTTTGAGGGACTATTATTATTATTATTAGTCCCTTGGGTTCCTAGTGGAACATAGGGCTTCAGTAGCACGCCTCCAGTGACCTCTGTTCTCTGAGATCTTTTGAACCTGGTCCCACGACAGCCCACAAGCTCTCATTTCCTCCTCGCACGACCTCCTCCATGTCACCCTCGGACGTCCAACTCGTCGCTTCCCATGGGGATTCCACTCGAGGGCCTGACGCGTGATGTCCTCAGTCGGCCTTCTCAGTGCATGGCCAATCCATCTCCACTTCTTCCTGCATATTTGTTGCGTGATAGGTTCTTGGTTGGTTCGTTCCCAGAGTTCCTTGTTGCTTATTTTTTCTGGCCATCTGATCTTCAGCAGCGAGCGTAAGCAGTTGTTGATGAATGTCTGTAGTTTATTGGAAATACCTTTCGTGACGCGCCAAGTCTCTGAGCCATACAAGAGCACTGACTTGACGTTGGTGTTGAAAATCCGTATCTTGTTCCGCATGCTGAGTGCAGAAGATCTCCACACTGGTTTCAGGCTAATGAACGCCTGTCTTGCTTTTCCGATTCTGACTTTGACGTCCTCGTCCGTCCCGCCTGTAGTTGAAACAGTGCTTCCTAGATAAGTGAAGGAGGTTACTTCCTTTAAGTTTCTCCCGTTGACAGTGATTGGAGTTTGTTGTTGTTGATGGTGGTGGTGCGGTATCTTCATCACTTCTGTCTTCTCTATATTCACCTGAAGTCCCGTCTTCGCTGCCTCTTCTATCAACTTGTTAGTTTTTGCCTGCAGATCTTCAAGTTTATGTGACATTAGGCATAAGTCATCGGCGAAATCCAAGTCTTCTAGGTTCTTTTCCGTCGTCCAGTGTATCCCCCTCTTCTCGCTGCCTACTGTTTGCTGCATGATCCAGTCCACCACAATCAAGAATATCATGGGGGATAGTAGGCAACCTTGTTTCACTCCTGTCTTCACTTCAAAGGCATCACTGAGCTTCCCATTGTGGATTACTTGGCATGTGGCATCTTCATATAGTTGTTGAATGAGGCGGATAAAGGTTTGCGGTACTCCGTAGTATTGAAGCAGTTTCCAAATTACTTCTCGGTCGACGCTGTCAAAGGCCTTCTCAAAGTCGATGAAGTTGAGGTGGAGAGGTGATTGCCATTCTATGCTCTGTTCTATGATGATGCGAAGCGTTGCAATTTGGTCTGCACATGATTTGTACTTCCTGAAGCCTGCCTGTTCCGGTCGTAGTTTTGAATCCAGTGCATCCCTTAGCCTCTCCAGGATGATGCGGCTTAATATTTTACTTGGGGTGGACAGGAGAGTGATTCCGCGCCAGTTCTTGCAAGCACTGAGGTCTCCCTTCTTCGGCAGTTTGACAAGGTAACCCTTCTTCCAATCGTCAGGTACCTTCTCTTCCTTCCACACCTTCTGCAATAGTGGTGTGAGCATGGCCGCTGTTGTCTCTGCATCTGTTTCAGTGCTTCTGGCGGTATTCCATCTGGTCCTGCTGCTTTCCCGCATTTCAGTAGCTTTATGGCGTTCAGGACTTCCATTTTCGTTGGGGGATTAATGTTCACTTGTAGTTCAGCGGCTGCAGGTGGTATTTCTGGACGAAGTGCAGGTGGTGGTCGATTCAAGAGCTTCTTGAAGTGGTCGGCCCATCGTTTCCTCTGTTTCTCTTCTTTTGTAATTAAATTTCCTTCTTCATCTTTTATTGGTTTCATCTGTGTTGGTCTCTTCCCTGATAGCAACCTGGTTATTTGATACAATGTCGTCAGGTCTCTCTTACCTGCAGCCTGTTCTGCTTCACTTGCCAGTGTTTCGTAGAAGTGTCTTTTGTCTTTGCGTGCACTCTTCTTCACTTCTTTGTCCAGTGTTTTATACATTGTGCTCAGTTCCTCTTGTCGTTGAGCATCCTTGCACTGGTTTATCTTCTGCTTCACCATCCTCCTCTCCTCTATCAGCTTCCAGGTATCCGTCGAGATCCATTCCTTGTCTTCTTTCTTCTTCCTTCCTAATACTGTTGTGCAGGTTTCTTTCCACATAGCTTTCAAAGACTTCCAGTGTTCTTCCACACAGGTTTCTTCAGGGATGTTCCTCGATGTCTCCCATTTTGTCTTGATGGCTGCCTTGAAGATCTCCTTTGTAGTTTCATCCTTCAGTTTCCGAGTGTTGTACTTGGGTTGAGGTCTATCACCAGCTTCCTTGAAGGCTTTTAACTTGATTTGGAAGGTTCCTTGCACTAGGTAGTGGTCTGAACCTACATCTGCTCCTCTTCTTGACCTTGTGTTAAGTAGACTGCGTCTCCATTTTCTTGAGATTGAGATAAAGTCGATTTGATTTTTAGTGTGTCCATCTGGTGAAATCCATGTCGCTTTGTGGATATCTTTGTGCCTGAACACACTGCCTCCAATCACCAAATCGTTGAATGCGCAGAATTCTGCAAACAATTCTCCATTCTCATTCATTTCACCTAGTGCCTCTCGACCCATGGTTAGTTCTCTTCCCGTGTTGTCCCCTCCCAGTTTGGCATTCATGTCGCCCATCAGAATTTTGATATCGCCAACTGACGTCTTGTCCAGTGTTGATTGAAGTTGTCTGTAGAAATCCTCCTTTTTCTCTTGCTCTGCATTATTTGTAGGTGCATAACATTGTATGATTGTGACCTTTCTTCCTTTTGAGTTGAATCTTGCTGTCATGATCCTGGAGGAGATTGGTTCCCACTGCATGAGAGCCTTCGATGCTCTTGAGGACATCATGATAGCCACTCCCTCAGTGTGCTCGTGGTTGGCGTCTGGGTGACCGGAGTAGATTATTGATTCTCCAGTTGACAGTTTGGAGAGTCCACTCCCATTCCATCTGCTTTCGCAAATCCCAAGCACTTCGATGTTATACCTTCTCATCTCCTTGCAATCTGGGCTGCCTTACTGGGTTCAAACATCGTGCGGACATTCCATGTCCCCACGTTTACTTTCGCTTTCATCGAGAGAAGACACATCGGCCAATTGGCTTCCCGAAGGCTTTCACCAACTGGCGTCATTTCGCCTCTCCGATTCCAGCGGGGAATAAGTTTGTTTTCATTTTTTATATTTTGTTTGTGCTTTGAAGTTTCTTTAGCGGTTAGATTTGTTTTACGGGGTAGGGTTGCTAGCCCTATGCCCAACCTTCCCTCTTTACCCGGGCTTAGGACCGGCTAGTAACTAGTAAACTAGTTAACCAGGCGAGGTTAAGTTTTGAGGGACTAAGACACCCAAATCCTTCTCCGTCAGTGACACTTACCATTG